CCCATAACTTGGATCATTCGGGAGGTGGGCTTCAACCCTCTGTGCCAATTGAGCAGAGAGGAGTGTGGGGGGTTGGCGGGTGCTGTGGTTTGCTTCTTCTTTCTTATCAAACTTCTTTTATCGTCTTTATCTCCCCTCCTTCTTTTTTGTGTTTGTTACTCTCTTGTAAACTTCGGCCCTTATATGACCTTATTATGTTGCAAGTGCTGTAAAACCTTACTAAAGCTGAACTAAACTTCTCATCTAGTGGTGTCCTTCATATATATAAGACTGCTCCTATTCATGTCCTGTATATTCCTTTGTTTCCTATCTTCTCATCTAGTGGTGCCCTCCGTGCATGCGACTGCTCCCTGAGTTCAAGAAGGCCTCCAAGTTTTCGGAAGAGGACGTCAACTTTGGCACTGTGGACTGCACGGTACACGCGGGCTTATGCAACAAGGTACGCCACTACTCTATGGCCTTTTGTGTCTTGACAAACGGCTTTAGTGGGTGGTTGGTGGGTGCTCTAGTGTGGTCTGCGTCTTCTTTCCTATCAAACATCTATCGTCTTTATCTCCCCTCATTCTTATGGGTTACTCGAAAGCACTGAGGTCGCGTACTATTGACTCCCAAGAAGAAATATATCAGCCAGCTTGTTCTGTGTTTGTATTTTCTTTTGTGATGCTTAAACACGACCTACTTTATATCAATTAGCCTATTATTGAAAAGACCTTGTGTTTGTGAACTATGGGTTGGAGCATGACAGGCTTACTTTTCTTTGCTTTTACTAAAAGACCTTGTGTTTGTGAACTATGGGAGAGATCGTGTTTGTTACTCTCTTGTAACACCTCTAATCTTCAGCACTTATATGACCTTATGCAGTTGCGAGCACCGTAAAACCTCTACTAAAAAAAACACTTTCAGTTGTGATATTATCTGACAGGCTAGCACTACCTCAAAATATGGAACAATAGTTAATGGGTAAAGTTTGAGACAATACTCATCTGTGCTTTGTTCTTTCTGAGGTTAAGACACCATGTCGCGACCTCTGAGCTTTGTTGTCATATCTCCATTTTTAATAACAATGAAAGCAGTTAATTGCAAAGAATGAGCTTTAAGAAGAAGTCGCATTTTAAATGTTTAAAAAAATGGAGATAGAACAATTAAGAAAGCACTGAAGTCGTGATGTGCTGAGGTCTTTGCCTTTTCTCTTGCACACCCCGTCCCCCAAACCACCAACCTATATCCATTTATCATTTCTTCTCTTTTTGTTCCGTCTCACTAGCAAAATTGAAGGCAAATGAAGCAGGGGTAGGCCCAGAACAATCTACTTGGGGAACCTAAACAAATGGGTAACGGTGAAAGATCAGGGAAACGTGGCTTTTTTTAGAGCATCCGAGCAAAGGAATGAATGCAGGACCATGATCGCTGATGTCTGTTCCAGATCTGGCACTGGATGATGTTGATGAGTTCGGTCCCTTTTCTTATTTTTGGGATCGTAATTTAAAGCACCAAAGCCACCAGGGAGTGGGCGCCATAGATCTTTATTATTATTTCTTAAATTATTATTATTTTTATTACTATTATTTTTTTATTTTATTATTATTATTACTATCATTACTATTATTATTTTTTTTTATTATTATTATTATTATTATTATTATAATTAATTACTATTATTATTATGGTTGTTGTTATTACTATTATAATTGTAGTTGTCGTTATTATTATTATTTTATCATTATTATTATTATTATTGCTGTTGTTATTATTCTTGTTGTTATAGAATCTGTTTATGATTGTCTGTCCACAGTACAACATCCACTCGTACCCGACCACCATCTTCTACAACGCCAGCGTTCCGCACCAGTACCACGGCCACCACACGGCCAAACATCTCCTGGAGTTCATCGAGGTCAGGATGTGTGTGTTGTCTTGTTTTAGGAAGGTTTTAGTGGGTGGTTGGCGGGTGCTCTGGTGTGGTTTGCTTCTCTTTTTTCCTATCAAACATCTATCGTCCTTATCTCCCCTTCTTTTTTTTTTTGTTTGTTACTCTCTTGTAACACCTCTAATCTTCGGCTCTTATATATATATATGACCTTGTTGTGTTGCAAATGCCGTAAAACACTTACTAAAAAAAACCCCAACCTTTGACCGTTGTGTGGGTGGTTGGCGGGTGCTCTGGTGTGGTTTGCTTCTTCTTTCCTATCAAACATCTATCGTCCTGATCTCCCCTTCTTCTTTTTTATGTTTGTTACTCTCTTGTAACACATCAAATCTTCGGCACTTATATGACCTTATTGTGTTACAAGTGTGGTAAAACTCTTACTAAAACCAACTCCCCTCCTCTTTTTTTTATGTTTGTTACTCTCTTGTAGCACCTCTAATCTTCGGCTCTCATATATATGACCTTATTGTGTTGCAAGTGCCGTAAAACTCTTACTAAAACTTTTTTAAAAACTAAAACATCGCCCATCAACGAGATGTGACGGCCAAGTGTTCACCTTTAACCCTTGTGTGTTTGCGTGTGTGGCCAGGACACGATGCGACCCCCGGTGATTTCCCTGAGCCGAGAGACGTTCATGGACAAGGTGTACAACAAGCCGGAGGACGAGGTGTGGCTGGTGGACTTCTTCGCCCCGTGGTGCGGCCCCTGTCAGCAGCTGGCGCCCGAGTGGAGGAAACTGGCCAAGGTGAGGGGGGGGACTGTTGTTGGGGAGCGGATGGGGGGGGGAGGCCAGACTTTGGTTG